ACGCTACCATGCTAACGCTACCATGCTAACGCTACCATGCTAACGCTCACGCTACCACGACGTCTGCCACAGATAGGGGAGTAAGCTGAGGGGGGGGGCAACCTGCAGGTGAAAGGCTGGAATATTATAATGAGCTAGAGCTAATGACGTCAGAAACTACCCACTCCTGAAACCTCCTGATTTATCTCCTGGATTCAGACTGAGGCAGCCCACAAATCATGACTGAGTCATTTTTTCTCACACTTTGCCTGCTGATAGGCCCTCCACAGTCCCAAATGTACATAATCAAATGATTAAAAACTTGGTTTTGCATAATATGTCCCCTTTAAGGCGTTCAGCTTAAGACAGGTATATCCCACAGCTCATTTCCTGTACCAGACAATTCAAAGTGCTTCACAAAGCATTTTAAAGCAGAAAAACAAAGAAAATGAATAAACAAAATAAAGTAGATAGATGAAAAGTGAAGGAGCAAATAAAATACATCCAGTTTCCATATGCGCAGTTAAACCGATGTTTTCAGCTGGATTTAAACACTCAGAGTTTAGTTCTGTCTCACATCTCCAGATTTAGGAGCATAAATCTGAAATGAAGCTTCACCTGGTTTAGTTTGAGCACCACTTCCTTCATCCTTCAGACTCATTTAAAGTATTTTGTCTCGTTTTGTTATTCACCAGTTCTCCAGTTCAGCGTTAAACTGGGCAGCACTGACACAGACTCAGTTTAACAAAGGATTTGGATTATTTGGAGGTAAAAATCCAGGTTAGGACGCTGCCTCCTTTAGGAGGGATTCACGTGGAGTCACCACTGTTTTCGGTCATCCCTCAGAACCTGGATCACAGAGGCCTCAAACATGTTTTTCCTTTTCTATCCAACCTCTCGGATCAACTCTGGCCTGGGAATTCCTTTTCTTAAACATTTAAGGTTAATGGGGACAGTCCGTGCTTCAAATCGGGCTGTAATATCTGCTTAATCTTTCTGATGGAGAAGTTTGCTGAAAACTCGCTCTAACGTGAAGATGCCCCTCAACGAGCTTTTGCTTTCATTTTCAGTGATGGAGGTTTAGTGTCTGAAGCTCACAGTGAGGCTCAGACTGTTCTGTATGTGGAGCAGAAACATTGGAGAAAACTCATTCCTAAAGCAGAGCGTAGGGAGGATGCTCAAGCTATGGAGGAACTATGGAGACGTCCTGGGCGAGGACAAAAAAGGAGATGTTCCTGATAAAGGACAAGGTAGACTCTAGATGTAAACATGGAGGGAGACGGCCGTATGGTGGACCAGAAAAGGAAAAGGTTTATGATATGGATAAAACCATATCCGGGTAAGGCAAAGAGTTTACCAGATATAAGGGCAGACACACCCAGAGTGAGACAGAGTTTTCTCTGAGATTTCCCCAGACTTGATGCATCAATCTGAACCTCTGACTCGGACCTGGCTGACAATAAAATCCTCTCTTTGTTTGACCAAATTCTGCCTCAGCAGAGTTTTTCCTACAGCACTTTCACTTGAGCTTTTTGATCATCCCATAATTCACCACAGAGGAAAAAACCTTTATAGACAGACAAACTGCTTTTTTTTTTAAAGTTTCCTGTTCATGTGCCTTATTTTCTGCTTCTTCCTTCAATGCAAACAGTCCGAAATGATCTAAAAAGGCAGATCTACTGTTTAGTTTCCGTAAAGTCACTGATACAAATAATAATAAAATCATAATAATAGCGTTCAATCATTTTACTTCAAGACGCTTTGAGAGTAACTAACTTCCCACGTAAAGCGGAACAACTTTGATAACCAATCATCCCGGACGCACTTGATGAGATTAAAGCCGTGAGACTCGGTACAGAAAAACAAAATTGAGAATATCTTTAGCAGCCACTCGCTGAAATCTTATCAAATCTATAATTTCTTTAAGAAGAGCAAAGTCACCCACCTGGCAGCACAGGCACAGCATCATTCCGCCTCACTGAAACGCTTATTTCGACCAGAAACTGCAAGAAAACTTCGCATTTGAGACGTTTCTCCCTCTGCAGCCGCACGGAGACGCGCACGGATCAGCCGCCGGGACTCAGGACCCGCCCCCCCGCGGCCCGCCGCGTTGCGAGGGCGAACGCACCTGGAGAATCTCCACCTTTGACACGGTCATTTTTACGGGGAGGTTCAGGTGGTAAAAACAGCTGCCATCATCTTATATTTAGACCCTAAGACGACTTGAGCGATTTTATTTCCGCTTTTTCTCCAATTTGCAGCTTTTTTTGTTGTTGTTTTAAAGATGACCCGTAATACCTCTGTGATCAAAATAACTGTCTTGTCTATTTAGATTTAGATACAGTGGGGGAAATAAGTATTTGACCCCTTGCTGATTTTGCAGGTTTGCCCACTTACAAAGAATGCAACAATCTACAACTTTAATCATATGTACTTTCTAACAGTGAAAGACAGAATCCCAAAGAAAATTCCAGAAAATCACATCATATGAATTTATAAAAAATGATAACCATATGATGAGGAAAAATAAGCATTCTTTGTAAGTTGGCAAACCTGCAAAATCAGCAAGGGGTCAAATACTTATTTCCCCCACTGTATAGCTCTTATGAAAACGTGTTTCATAACTCCGTAAAGGAGTCGTTTTGATCCAGGAGGTTTAACGTCTGGTGGCCTAACATCTGTCTCTCCCAGCCCAGCCAGATGTGGATCCGTCCACCCACCCAGTTTCTCTCTACGGCTTTCAGATGTTCGGTAAACTGGTGCTGGAGAGCAGCCATTCCCAGTTCAGAGGTCCCAGAGCAGCCAGTTACTCAGACTGGTCAGGTTCAGAGGTTAGAAAACCCCCAACCACCATCTGGACAAGCATGTAACCAAACAAATGTCTACGAATTGAATGGACCAGGTTGTAAATCTAATCAGGATGTTTGGTTAAGATAACAAACTTCTGTCACAGCTGGAGCTAACTAACAGAAACAGGAGAGAGCTGGCCCAGTAAAACTGTCCGTTTGATCCTGATGTTGGGTTCAGTTCTCTGTCTAAACCCCCTCCATGTTCCACTATCTGTCAGTGGGGGGGGGGGGCAGGACTCTGGAAACGGACACTTTCAGCAGCCTCATCGGTCAGTTTAGGAATGATTTATTTATATAATTTCAGTCTGGTTAGGACTTCTTTGTTTTTACGATCTAACTTGGTTAAGGAGTTTTTTTACATTTAAATCGGTTTTAGTATTCATTTATTTTTTACATTGCAATCGGTTTAGGAGTTGTCTATTTCAACAATCTAAATTGTTTTTACAAACTCTGTTTATTTCCTCGGGTTGGTCCTAGTTACATACTAGTTGATTTTGTGGCCGCTGTGGTTTCTGTTTTCTTTGGGGTTCCTGTTTTTTAAAGGCCACACAGCTGCAAATGTCAAAAATAGACAAAGAAATCCACTTTTTTTAATTATGGGCACACACTCAGTCAGCAAGAGCACATATGGGATAACCAAACTTTATTTACATTATTCTAACAGTTATTTAGAAGAAAATGTGGAATTCGAAGGACGGTAGGTGTCTGTTAGGATAGTGGGGATGAAAAAAACAGCTCATCCAATGAAAGGAGTTTAAGGTTTAAGTTTAAGGGTGGGATGGTTTCTCATAATAAAAACCCTTTCAAACTTCCCGCGTTTAGATTAGTTTCCAAAGTGGTCAAATCATGTTCAACAAGCCTAGAAATAAGAATGCTAAAGGAAAACAAATGACTAGTAGCACCACTGAATAAACCAAAAGTATAAAAAGAAAAACTGTGGAGGAAAACAGAGCAGCTGTTTTGCTTTCTGCTTATTTGAATATTATTTTTTCTGCTCCATAACGTTGTTAAAAACAATGCAGCATGTTTGTTAGATGAATGTGTGTTTTTTTGTGTGTGTGTGGCTAAAATGGTGTATTATAAGGCATTTTTACTCGAGAATCATGCTTTTCTTTCACACAGAATATTCCATTATAGATGTAATAATGGGCCTTTAGTTATTTTAATTTAGACTTGGATTCTTTATTGAGTTTCATTGTTCTCTTCGGTAAGTCTGAGTCAGGAACCGGTGCCTCTCGTAAATCCGTTGTCCAGGTATGTACACAGTCTACACGCTTCCTTTTGCACATGAGACTCATGTGCAAAAGTTTTAGGCCCTCATCCTTCGGCTCCTAATTTTCATCTGCGTCGTCCATTTTGATGACTGGAGTTCCTGGAAGGGAAAAAATAAACAAATTGTTATTTTAAAAGTTCCTGAGAAGCTGAAAATGATCAATTTTAAGTTATCAGTTTGTTCAGTTTTTCATTTCGAAGACTTTTACTTTGACATTTTACACAGAAAATCTTTACTAACATTTCAGATCCATTTGTTGAGACAGCGAATTATGAAAATGTTTTTTTCCCTTTCATTTAAAACAGAAATAAGCTCATCTTGTAAAAATGCTCAAGTATGCTTTCAGGAAAAGTGAGTCAACTCACAAATTTTTACAAAGTCTAAAGTAATTTCAGTTTGAAAACTATTTCCATCCTCATCTGAAGTGTCAGTTCTCTCTAATCTCTTTCTAATGCCTCGGTCCAATCGCAAGATTAATTGAAAGAAATCAGTTCAGATTTGTTACATCTTTTAAGTCTGTTGTTAGACATATCATAGAAATAGCAAAGGGCTCAGCCAGGTAAAGTTTGGCTGGTTGCGTGTCCAAAACTGGAGATTAGAGGTTAAAACCCTTTTCCATTACCGGCCTACACACCGCTCTGAAACACCTACCGTCCAGCTTCTTAAGGTTAGGAAGTCTTTTACAGGCTTCGTCCATCCAGTTTCCCTCGGCAGAGTGTTTTTCCTGGAGAGGATTACCCACAAAAACCAGGTCCGCGAGGCACGGCAGGTCAGCCAGCCTCACAAACTCTCCTACAGTCACAGGAAAACAAACGAATCAGCAACAATATCAGTGTAAAAAAAAAGCTATCTAATCTAAAGAGACCAAGCTGGAAACCTCTGGAAACACAGCTCACATTTCTATCTGTTCATGGTGATCTGAGAGTAGCGTACCCCAGTCTTTGACCTGGTTGTTGGACATGTAAAGGACTTTCAGTTTCTTCAAGCAGTTCACTCCCTTCAGTTTCTCTATCAAATTATAGGAAATCCACAACTCCTCCAGTGTGTCTCCCACCGCCTCCTGTAAACAGACAGAGAACAGAAGGAAGAACTGTGAACATTTAGACAAAGAGGGAGAAAAGAAGCAAACTCATTATTTTGGCCAGATGACACACTAAACATGAGCAGAACTCTACAGATTTCCACCATAAATCTTAATTTCTCTGCACCTTTTGGAGAAAATTGGATAGCAAAAAAACAGTTTAACAAAATGGCCGACTGAGACAAACACAGGAAAAAACAAATGCTTTTCATTCATCTAAAAAACTCCAACTGAATGGTTTAATAAGGTTTGACTGTAACTTACCAGCCCAGCAAAAGTCTTTATATTATTTCTGCCCAGTGACAGTATCTTCAATTTCTCTGGCAGAAAATGAGAGCTCAGCAACACGTTTCTGTCTGAGGACAACTTGTGAAAATGCGTGGTGACACAGATACATATTCTGGAGGTGATACTCACTGAGGCCGTTCAGATTGGTTATTTTCTCGATGCAGTTGGTGGACAGAGACAGCTTCCTGGGAGGGAGGAAAAGCACCGGCGTGTATTCGAGGGACGACTGACCCCCCTGAGCTTCTACGACTGGACTTACTCGCAGTTGGAGAGCGTGGACAGAGAGGGATCCATCTTCTCCACTGGAGGAATCTGACCGTACAGCTCCACCTCAATGGCTTCGCTGGCCTTCTCCCCACTCCTTTCCTCCTGTGAAAACACACTCAGATGGACACAATCTGCACATGGAATCTGGACGTGTCTATTTAGGGGTTTTATCTTATTGGTTTCACACTCACCCATTTATTCAGAGCGTCCCTCACAGTCGTGGCTTTAGCCTGAAGACATTAAATGACATTTATTTAGACAGAAACCTTGAAAATGTGATATAAAAATGGTTAACAAACACAAAGGAAAAGCTCGGATACACAAATACATCGTTTTTTCTAACACTGCCCATCCTTTAGGCACATTTTATTGATACAGGCTTCCTTTTGTTTGGCATTTTAACCTATTTGAATAGCAAATTCTGAACAGGTTTCGCCAGGCTTCGCTAACTAGACACTAATTTGGAGCTTCTAGCCGCAGAAGTTTCCCACCAGGTCAGAATTCACCTGAAGGCCTTAGCGAAGTTTGCTTTGGTCACGGCATAAACTTAATAAACCCGCAGAAGCAGGAGAAACATGCCGGTACCGTCACTCACCATGTTGACGTTGGGTGTCCGCTTTGGTTGCTATGGCACCGAGAGTCACAAAGCTGCGCCTGCGCAGAATGACCGGGTCGCTTTCTTTTCCTGCTGTTTATTTTGTTGTATTTCTTTATTTTAAACCCAAGCATCCAGTTTGGAGACCAGTCGTTTCATTATTGATCGATTTTTGGCAGAAATGTTCTTATCTGGAAAACTGACCAGCTATTCCTTTGTTAAATATTTAGGAATTGATCATCAACTCAACTTCGGAATAAGTTGAAAATATTGTTTTTTTAAAATATTTTTCTTACAAACAGAAATTAATTTTACAGTTTAAGTTAAACTGTAAATGCTCTTAAATGTCCTCCTTTTTAAAACATCTTTTATTTGACCATCTCATCAAGAAATTACACCAGATTTAATTTGATCTTCTGAAAACGTTCTTTCTTTGTACATATCAATCTGAAGGCGTCTTGTTCCCTAGTATATAAACCTTAATTAACCTGTAGAACAGGGAACATAGGTTACGATATTCTAAGATCATTTAGATAATATTAGATATTTCATTAATATTAACTAAGCTTTTATGTCATTTAAGACTGTTTTTTTCCTTATTACTGTGCCAGTCTCCGGTTAAAATAAAAGGTGTCATAATTTGTGCATCAGTCCCTTAAACTAAAACTACTTGTAGAGGAGGTTTTTTCATCACCCGGGCTCCTTCACAGGATCCAGCATGTCCTGTCTTTGGTTCTAACTCCAAAATCTAATAAGATATTCACACATACAAAGTCAAACGTAAAATGACAGTCACAATCTGAGCCTGTCTCTGGGTCAGGTCATTTAATCAAAAGTAATCAAATTAAATTATGAGCCGACTTCATACAAATCAAGCCATCTCATGAATACAAAAAAAAAGACGTTCAAAAATAGCAAAAATTAGTCTGCCTCTCTCACAAACACACATACACAAAAATACAAAAATTAACCTGACATTTTGAGACAATAAAAACAGCAATTTGTGAACAAAAGTGATGGAGTAGAAAACCACGATATAAAAGGACATTAGCCCCTCCGGTATCCTGTGGCTGGTTTCCAACAACAAAAACACAAAACAGTGGAAGGTGTTTGCTCTAAAACATGGAAGAAAAACTGTTTCTCTACTCTCACTCTCAATCAAAGCATTTCAAAGTGGTGCTGCCTTCCATCCAAACGTGTCAGTACAGATTTCTGAACTCTGAGTAAAAAAAAAAAACTGGAATCAACCCCAGAGGTTAGACTTCTGACTTAGAAATCTGGAGGAACACAACCAGCTCCAACCTTCAAATCCTGTGTTGTGCATCCAAAGTGTTGGCAAAGCCATTTGTATGTTGTTTTTCTCCTTTGCACACCCTTATAGGGCTGTAGACGGCAGATCTGGTCTTCATTTACCCAAGTTGTATTTCTAAAACAGTTCAAATCAACACAATGCATCCAGTGTGAGGTCATTTCCAGCTCAGAGTTTTGACTTCAGACACAAATATAAGACAGAACGAGTTACGGTCAGCTGGAAACACCAGACCTGGACCAAACCATTACAACCTTCTGGCACATTGAACTTTGACTCAGCCACTACAAGTGTTAAGGGGGGGGGCATTGCTCTGTCCTCTCACGCTGGAGTGCTTTTGTACCCTTCAAAAAGTCACAGAAAACGAGAACTTGATGAACTTGGAGGTAAAAAAAAAAAACATTCACTGTCACCACAGTCCTCAAATTAAAGGTTTCCTTTCATTTTTTTTTTCCTTATAACCATTTTATATATCTAAACTTTCACTAATCCTCTCTGAGCAGATTTCCATATCACACCTGTTTATTCGACACTTAAAAAAACACCTATTTCTACGACACCACCCATATATTTATCAAATGTCCTCTCCCTCCCCGCTGGTTTCCTCTCAGTCCCGTCATAGCTCGTCGTGGTCGGCCGGTTCGTCCGCTTTGAGCCTGAACTCTTCCTCCGTGATCTTTCCATCCCCGTTGCGATCCTGGTTGGAGAACATGTTGTCGATGATGCGGTGGGGGTCAAAGCCGGGCGCCAGACGGCCTTTACCGTCGTTCACCTGCTGCATGATGTAGTCAGTGAACTGTCAAAGGGCAGAGAGAGGAGGGGAGAAGATAATTTAGGTTAACTACTGGCAGGAGAAACATCAGGGGACTGAAAACAAACGGAGCTGTCGGCCCAGTGGTTCTTAACCTGTGTCAGATCGAACCCCTGGGGCTGCGATGAGCCGTATTTTAAATCCTAAATACTAAACATGTCGAGCAAAAAACGAAAGTAGTTGGACAAACATGCACAACGTGGATTCCTGTGTTTAAGGATCGGGACGGGAGGCAGCGTGTGGACCAACTCCAGTCTAAAAATGAATGCAACACTTCTTTATTCTGGCCCCGAAAAAGTATTTTGTGGATTCAAAATGACAAAAAACAAATTTAATTTAAAATAAATATTTTTTAAAGTTATCGAAAATGTTAAATTATTTAAAAAATCCAAATGAATTTTTAAAATGTGTAAAATAGTAAAATACTCAAAAAATATTTTTTGAGGTTGAAATTCTTTTATTTGGCTGAAACATTTTTGCCATAACAAAGTAATACGGTAATTTGTTATGAGTCCATGCACTGTGTTGGTTTGTTCTCTGAGCAAGCTAAATTTAAAATATATATTTTTTAAAGTTATTGAAAATGTTGAATCCTTTAAAAAATTCAAATGAATTTTCAAAATGTGTAAAATAGTAAAATAAAAAATCCAAATAATTTTTTTAAATGTGTAAAATAGTAATAATGTTGAGGTTGAAATTCTTTTATTGGGCTGAAATATTTTTTGGGGGCCATAACAAAGTAATACGGTAATTTGTTGTGAGTCCATGTTGGTTTGTTCTCTGAGCAAGCTGAAGTTCACGTAAGGCTGATTTTTTGCACCAGTAAAAAAAGCACAATTGCTATTCCTTGAATTTGGGAAAAAAAAAAAAAAAAAAATTTATCACTAAAGCCAAAACTTGTTAGCCAAAAGTTGGCTAACGTGTGCCGTTGGTCAGTACCTCCGAGGGCTCCACGTTCCCGTTGCTGTTCCTGTCCATCTCGGAGAAAAGGTCCGGGGACACCTCGTCGTTCCAGATGAACATGTATCCCTCGGGGAGGCCGTCCTCCATGTCCACCAGCTCGATGTCGAACAGCATCACCGCGCTGCCGGGAACCTCTCCGGCTGCACACAGAGAGTACACAACTGACCAACAGCA